AGCCTCCTCTTCGCAGCTGTTTTTAAAAGGCAATGACCGTGTCCCGTTCCCACTCAGCCTCCGCTCCCAGTTACTCTGGGTACGCTTCAGTGTAAATGCAAAGAGGAATTGGGGCAGGATGCTCGGATCGCAGCGGCCAAGTGACGGGAGCGCGTCCCCAGGAGGGACCGGGAGCCCGGGGAGTGCAGAGCCCGCAGCATCGCCACGGCCCGGCAGGGAAAGCGCTCCCGCACAAGCCATTCCTGCACGGCACACGTGAGTAACGCAGAGCGGAGCCGGCCCTAGGGCGAGGCCAGCACGCCCCAGAGGGAGCTGGCAGCGTTTCGTGGTCCTCGGCACTCTGCAGGCAGCCCAGGGAGCCCGCGGTGGCATCTCCCGCTAAGCGACGCCTCTGACCTCAGCTGTCACCAGAGGTCTGCGGGCAGACACTCTGCAACAAGAATGCCAAAAAGCAGGTGAGGTGTACCCAAAGGACCGTCTCCTGAAAATTCTTCTGGCCGGCTTTGTCTCAGTTTATCACCCAGCAAGAGGACACAGGATGGCATTTCATGCGTGGAATTTTAATGATAAATTCATTATATTTTAGTGTATTATTGGCGTCCGATTTTGTAGTCTTACAAGAAATTTCCGTTTCCACATCTCCATTAAATGTCTGATTCATTTTCTTGGCTCGTGGTAATGCCTCGGGCTACATCACTAAAGAATCAGTGCTCTGCATTAGATAAATATAAGACCAAGTCTGATTAACCTATTAACTATTTTTAATTAACTTTTACTGTTCTTCAAATATTCCGTGTTTTTGAGGAAGCAGGAAGAGGATGAGAGCAGGCTGGTACTGTAGAGATGTATAGAGCTAGCATATGGACCGAGATTATTCATCATCATTGGCAGCAGCTCTGCTGTAGGGAATCTTGCAACAACATCACAATTTTCCTCTAGAGTGAATGTCATAATGGACACATTTGTGGGGTGAGTTATGGCCAAGATAGAAAAAAAATTCAATCTTTATAGCGTCTTTATGCTCTGTCTTCCTTTTTGGTAATCAGATCTTGATTAAGAGTTCGAATTAGCGCCCAGAAGAACATTATGCTTTCCTGGCTCAGCTCCTTCCCACGATGTAGGGCAGACGACAAATGATTCAAAGGCTTTACAGTGCTGCTACAACAAAAAGGTGTCTATGTACCCATCCACCACTTTGGGAAACTAACGGGCTGCCTGCTTGCAATGAGGAACATATGGTAGTGGCAAAATATTTCATTTGCTAAATAAAGTGACTGCTTCATTTAGTTCAGACAGGCTCCTCTCACAGCCACGATAACTTATTAGGGAACAAGCTGGGCAAGGTGGGGTTCGCTGTCTCTGCTGTTGGGGGCTGGAAGGGCTCTGTGGGGCAGAGCAGCCCTTCCTCGAGGGCAGCACCCGCACGATGCTGCAGTGCCGGTTCTGTCTCGGCAGCCTGAAGAACATCTGACCCTGTAATGCCAAAGCACGTTCGACCTTTTAGTTTTAGGCGTCCTTATGGTTTGGTTGGGGCATTTTTCCCCTTTCAGATACGCTGGGACCATTCTGGTGGAAGTGAATTTTGAGTGAATTTTGGAGCCATAGCTGCTCCAGCACTCGTACTTCCTACGCCTCGAACCAGCAAAACAGCTTTTTTTTCTTTCCTTTTTTTTTTTTTTTTTTTTTTTTTTGACAACGCTTCTCCTGCGTACCTGTGAATCCATTCTCACGTCTTCCTCACTGCCTCCCGGGGGGGCCGGGCTCCCCAGGGCAGCTCAGCCCCTCCTTGCCCGCAGCCCCCGCCCCTGGCAGCCCGGACCCCGCTGTCCCTGCCGCCCTCCGTCCCCGGGCTCCGCGGGTGCTTCCCGATGGGATTCTGAGGGAGCTGCTCTCCTCTCGCTTTGCACCCTCCGGCTCGCCGCCCGGCCCCGCTCTCCTTGGTGGTTGCTCTGCTGGAAGCGGCGAAGCGCTTGCGATGAGACCCCGCGGAGCTGGTGAAACGCAGCCGGGCATTGGCGAGCAGGGTCCGGTCAGCAGCCCCATTGCTCACGGAGTGCTTCGGCTGCGGGGTTTGCAGGCTGCGGCTGGCTCGGCCTGTTGGTGAAGTTTGCTGCTGGGGTGGCTTTCAGCCCCGCCGCTGCCTGGGCTGCTCACGGTGTCCCCCACACTCTGCTCAGCCCCGGCCGCCTCCCGAGTTACTTCTCCTCACTACTTCAGCTGACTGCCCTAGCTTAGGGAAAACAGAAGCTGAACATGGAAAAGGAACCAAATATTAATATTTTCGAATATTTCAGTCGTTAAAGACAGAGAGAAGGTAATTCTGGCGTCTGCTTTTGAATCCGTTTCTCAGGCAGGGGCAGCCCTATGGGCGCCATCCCACCTGCGATGCTCTCTTTAGGGAAGAAGTTGCACGAGGAGACCCTCAAATAAACACTCGTTTTTTTTCAATACGCCATCCGTTTCTTACAGTAGAAAAGGAGGAAAAACTCTTGTGCTGGAGGGATTGTTTTGTTTTTCTTCCGCTGGAAAACAAGCCCGGAGGTGCCGGGCGGCGAACTCCCGGGAAAGGGGCGCGGAGCGAGGGGAGCGGGCCGGTACCGCCGGTACCGCCGGGCCGAGCACGGGGCTGGCGGGGCCCGCAGAGCCCCGGGCGGTGCCGCAGCTCGGGCCGGCCCGGCAGGACCCGCTGCGGGCTCAGGGCCCGCTGCCCCCGCCCCAGCGCGGACCCGCGGCCGGAGCTGCCGCCGCTGCCCGGCTCTGGCAGAGCTCCCTTGGGGCGCTGGAGCAGGGAGGCAGGCAGCGGGTCGGGCCCGGGGAGAGCCCCTGCCCCCGCACCGTGTCCTCGGCAGGAGGGAGGAAAAGAGGCTCCCTTGGGTGCCGCTCCGCGCCTGCCTCAGCACTTACAAAAGCGGTTTAGCATTTCTATCCCCCCGAATTCAGATGCAAATCGTTCCCTTTGAGAGGCGGCTCCCCCTCTCCATTGCCGCTGCCGGAGCTGAGCCGGGGCTGCGGGGCCGTGCGGGGCTGCGGCGGCCGAGCGCCCCCGGCTCCTCCGCAACCAGCAGGAAAACACTTCTTTGGGGTTTTCTTTTAGAATATTTGCGAAGTGACAAGAGGACAAAGAAAAAAAGAAATTCAGACTCGGAGGTTTAACTTGAGCTTCCCGGCGGTGCCCTTCGTGTGGCTGCGCCAAAGTTAAGGCGAGGCAAGACCCTACGCGCCCTTTCTCCAAGTGTATTCATCAAATTTATAACTCCAACTAAAACAATTCAGAGCAACAAGGGATTATTTAGAAATAGAAGGAAACATCGTTGCAGGTAGAGGACCAACGTGCCTCCGCTTTAGCTAAGATTCGTAATTAAAATAAAATTAATTTTCGCATCATCCCGTTTTTCCACGCTCGAGGAAAATAGAGTTCCCCACAGGTACAACACACGGGCACAGACAGCACAGTGTAAAAATTGCTCAGGGTGATTTTGCATCACTCTTCCGTGGAATGCTCTTTACGGGACAAATAGGATTTTTTTTCCCTTTCGGCCTTAGGCTACGGGAATTGCCGTGAGCAGCCGGGGTGCCGGGCACAGGTGCCCAGGGGCTCGCTGGTACCGGGGCACAGCACCGGGCAGTGACCGGGCCCGGCGGCACCAACACCCGGATCCAGCGGGGACAGAGAGCATCCACAGGGGCCAGAGCGTGCGGGAAGGGCCGAGGCTGTTCACACCTCCCGCATCCCAAGGAAACACCGGGGCAGGCCCGGCCCCACCGGGACTCGGGCGGCTCTGCGCTCTGGAGTCTCTCCCAAGACAGAGAGAGAGAAAGAGAGAGAGAAAGAGAGAAAGAGAGAGAGAGAGAAAGAAAGAGAGAAAGAGAGAAAGAGAGAAAGAGAGAGAGAAGGAAAGAAGGAAAGAAAGAGAAAGAAAGAAAGAAAGAAAGAAAGAAAGAAAGAAAGAAAGAAAGAAAGAAAGAAAGAGAAATACGGATAGATAAAATGATGGGGGAAAACAGAGAAATTAAATGAGAGAGGGCAAAGGAAAAGAGAAGGAGAGAGAAAATGAAAAAGGAAAGGAAACGAGAAAGTAAAGGAAAAAGAAATTAAATGCAGAAAAATTACAATTAAAAAATAAAAATAAAACGTAAAAGAGAAAGGAAAAAACAAAGGAAAAAGAAAGAAAAGGAAAAAAGAAGAGAAAAAATGAGAGGCAAAAAAGGAAAGCAAAAGGGAGAAAAAGAGGGAGAAGAAACAGGAGAGGAAAAAGGGTAAACAAAAGGGAAAAGTAAAAGGAAAGGAAAAGGGAAAGGAAAGAGAGGAAAAAGACAGGGAAAGGGAAAAGATAAAGAAGAGGAACGAGGGAAAAGAAAAATGGAAAGGAAAAAGAGGGGGGGAAGGAGAAGAGGGGAAAATAAAAGAAAAGCCAGGAGAAGAGGGCGAGGGGAGCCGGGGAGCCCGAAGTTGGCTCAGGGCGGGCGGGTGGGTGGGCAGGGCCGGCAGCCGCCCCGCCCCCGCCCCGCGCCGCCGCCGCCGCCGCGCCCGCTGCCGGCCGTGCCCCCGCTAAAGGAGGCAGGAGCGGGGCGGCGCGGCAGTGCGCCCCGAGCCGCGCCCGCAGCCCCGACAGAGCCGCGGGAACCGCGCCGGGAGCGATGCGGGGCGCCGGGGAGGAGGCAGGGCCGGCGAGCGCAGCCCCCGCGCCGCTGTGATCCGCCGGCGGTCCATCGGAGCGGGCACGGCCGCTGCGCACACACGCGCGTATACAGCCGCCGTGTCCGACAGCACCGCCGCTCCGCTTTCCGCCCCGGCAGGCAGCGTCCGCCGAGGCGCAGCCCCGATGCCCGGCGGCACGGCGGGGCCGCCGCTCGGGCGCGTAGCTCCCCGCTAGAGGCGGCGGCCCCCGCGGGCTGGATGCGCGTCGCCGGTGCGGGCGGCACCCCCGGGCCGGCCGCCGGGGCCCCGCGGCTCTAGGGGCCGTCCGGGCCCCCCGCCCCCGGCCGGCGGCGGCACGGGGATGCTGGCGCTGGGGCAGATGGACGGCGCGCCCCGGCAGGGCGCCTTCCTGCTGGGCAGCCCGCCGCTGGCCGCCCTGCACAGCATGGCCGAGATGAAGGCGCCGCTGTACCCCGCGTACCCCCTGCCCGCCGGGCCCGCCTCCTCCTCCTCCGCCTCCGCCTCGCCCGCCTCCGCCTCGCCCTCGCCGCCGCTCGGCTCCCCGGGCCTCAAGGCGCCCGCCGCCTCCGCCGCCGCCGCGGGCGGGCTCTCGGCGCTGGGCACGGCCCCGCCGCAGCTCTCGGCCGCCACCCCGCACGGCATCAACGACATCCTCAGCCGGCCCTCCATGCCCCTGCCGGGCGCCGCGCTCGCCTCCGCCTCGCCCTCCGCTTCCTCGGCGGCGCCCGCCGGGCTGCTGGCCGGGCTGCCCCGCTTCGGCAGCCTCAGCCCGCCGCCGCCGCCGCCGCCCGCCCTCTACTTCAGCCCTGGCGCCGCCGCCGCCGCCGCCGCCGTGGCCGCCGGGCGCTACCCCAAGCCGCTGGCCGAGCTGCCCGGCCGGACGCCCATCTTCTGGCCGGGGGTGATGCAGAGCCCGCCGTGGAGGGACGCCCGCCTCGCCTGCGCCCCCCGTGAGTACCCGGCGTGGCGGGGCGGGGGGGAGAGGGCGCGGGAGCCCCGGTGGGATCCGCTCCCCGTGCCAGGGAGCCCCCGCGCCCTGGCATCGCTCTGAGACCCTTCTAGCCAGGGCCCGGCCGCAGCCGAGCGGGCTGGCTTTGCCTCGATTTCTTTTGTTTTCGTTTCTTAAGTTGATTTTGCTTTCTCCGTCCCCTCGGTCAGCGCAAAACTCTGTAATATATCGCCAATTATCGCCGGCGAAAAGCGAAACCCTCCGAGGGGAAATTAGCCGCGCTGCCGCCGTCGCTGCTGGGCACTCTCGGGGCCAGGGTTGGCTTTAGGGGCGCGCACAAACTTTTCCCGAGCAGGACTTTCTGCTACCACCCGCTCGCACCGGCTGCGGCTTTTTTTTAAAAAAAACCAAATCATTTGCCCGCTCAGATTTTTGATCTTAAAGGAAAAATAATTAAGGCGAGCCGAAAGGCCAGAGCCGTAGCCTGGCTTAGGCAATAGTTTTCTTATCCCCCGCGTAGAGACCCCTCCGTCCCCTGGGGCCGCTTGAGAGTGAAGCGCTTTCCCAAATCCGTAGATTAACTTGTCTGTCCCTGCCTTCCCTTTCTCTCCCCTCCTCCCTTTGCCAGATCAAGGCTCAATTTTGCTGGATAAGGACGGGAAGAGAAAACATACAAGACCCACTTTTTCTGGCCAGCAGATTTTCGCTCTGGAAAAGACTTTTGAACAGACGAAATACCTGGCGGGCCCGGAGCGAGCCCGGCTGGCGTATTCCCTGGGGATGACGGAGAGCCAAGTTAAGGTGAGAGCACCGAGAGCACCGAGCGGTGCGGGGCTGGAGGAGGGGGGAACAAAAGGGCCCCGCCGCGGAAACGGGGTCCCGTCTGAAGCAGCCGGAGATGCTGCGGGCTGGCGGGGGCTTCCCCGGCAACCACCGGCATTTCTCCCCTTATCGCCTCACTGCGGGGCCGAGAAAGTAGTTTTAAAGTATTTTAAAACCCAATCAAATTGAACCAAACAAACCCAAGCGAGACTGAGAAGCTCTGAACACCGTGGGGGTGGCCAGCATTCTGGGAAAGCCGGGAAAGGGGGATGTTAGGGTGTCGCACTGCCGCACCCGCACTTTTACGTTCTGGTTAAAAACTCTGTGTTTTGGGCAAAGCGGAGGTGTGAGGGGTGGGGAGAGCGGGCTGAGCCCCCCGAGAACACGCAGAGGCGTTTGCTTGGTGGACTGGCCCAGAGGGGGCCCCTCGGCGGTGCTCACGCTTTCAGTCTGATCTGCACTGCCTCCTTTGTCACGGCAAATACGTCCCGATGGCTGCGAATAAATTATTGCAGCTCCTACAATGAAAATGCCCCCCTACTCTGGCAGCGCCCTGCCGGAGAGTAAATACATCTGGCGGGGCAGGGGGGCTGGGGAAGGCATCGGCCCCAAATGTGGGTATCCCCGCCCCAGGCAGGATGGCAGGGAGCCTCGGGGGAGCTGGGGGCGGCTGTCGGCCCGCGCCGGGCCGGGTGTGGGCGGCGGCCGGGAGCGCGGTGCGGCGGGGATCGGCCGCTTTCGTTGCGGGGAAATCGCCCCAAGGGCGGCGGAGCGGGCATCGCTGCGCACGCCGGGGATGGGGAGATGGGCACCGGGCGAGCAGCGGGGGTGGGAGCGGCCCGGTGCCGCCGCCGCGGGTGGCCGTGCCCTGATGCTGACGGTGGCGGCGGGGCAGGTCTGGTTCCAGAACCGACGGACCAAGTGGCGGAAGAAGCACGCGGCGGAGATGGCGACGGCAAAGAAGAAGCAGGACTCGGAGACGGAGCGGCTGAAGGGCGCCTCGGAGAACGAGGAGGAGGACGATGACTACAACAAGCCCCTGGACCCCAATTCGGACGATGAGAAGATCACGCAGCTCCTGAAGAAACACAAGCCGGGGGGCGGCGGGCTGTTGCTGCATCCCCCGGAGGGGGAAGCCTCCGTCTAGCCTGCTTCGCCCTCCGCCGCGTTCGGAGATGTACAGATCTATTTTTCTAGACTCTACGCGCCCGGAGGAGGAGCAGACGCCGGAGGGAGCGCAGAGAGGACTGCGGGCCCCGGCGGGCCCGGCGGGCGCGCCCGCTCCCCGCGCCGCGCGTTGTTGCCGTGGGGCGGCGGGCGGAGCGGAGCGGAGCGGCTGGCCCGAGCCCGGGCCCGCTCCGGCCGGGCGGCTTTGCCGGCTCTTTGTAAATAAACCGTGAGTCCCCGCGACCGTAGGCGTTCCTTACTGTGAATATTTAAAATGTAATATACATTCTTTTTTTTGTTGTTGTTTTTTTGTACAGCGGGGGCCGAGGGCGCAGCGTCCCGCCCGCCCCGCGCTCTCCGGCAGCACCGGGGGCACCGCCGCGGAAACGCCGCCGGTGCCTCCCTCGGGCCGAAACTGCGGCGGCCCCGCGTGCTATTTATTAGTATTTTTGAAACACTTTCTGTTGCGGTCGTCGTGCAAGGGGGGGCGGAGGGTGGGGGGGAGAGGGCGGAGGGACAGAGTTTGCTTTCATTTACACCGTTCCCAATCAACCGCGCGTTGAAAAAGTAGCTGGTGGGAATTGTCACAACCACTGTCAGTCAAAGTATAAAATTCATTTAGTTGCTGTATTTGAATTTAAAGTGTGTTTTCTTTTGTATCATACGGAATACTAGAGAATGTAAATTGTTTTTTCTTTTTTTTTTTAAGCTAATAACGATGATATATCGTGAAATAGCATCTTAACATTTATTAATTTATATTAAAAATAATTCGGTTTGTAAAGAGAAGAAAAGCCCTTTGCAAGACCAGTTAAATGTAATGCACTTTCTGTTAAAAAAAAAAAACAAACAAAACAACAAAACGATAAATCAATTAAACCAGTTTAACGACGTCTGCTGCCTTCACTAAAGAAAGAGAAGAGGTGATTTTTGTTGATTCTCAGTAGTAAGGTTTTTGTTGTTGTTTGGTTGTTTGGTTTGTTTGAAGACTTTTGTTGTTTGAGCGCTTTTTTTTTTTTTTTTTATTAATTGGAAGTTGACTATTTTGCTGTGGGAACACAAGAAGGATACAAATAAAATAAGCCGCGGGTTGTTTGGGGACGTGAGCGGGCAGGTAGCTTCCACCCGGCCACTCAGCCTAAATTAGGCTGTTTCAACTTTCTCAGAGGCGGGCGATGCAGGGCTTTATTAACGGCAGAGTGTTACCATTATTAGGGGAAATAAACCGCTTTCCAAGAAGAAAACAGTGGATAAAATAAAAGCCCGGCTAAGTGTCTAGAACGAATAGACCCAATACCAGAACTGGTTTAAATTGAAACTCATTATCTGACGCGATCATTTCCATATCTAAACAGTCCAGAAACAATCGCTTTTTTTTTTTTTTTTTTTTTTTTTTTTTCTTCCCAAGGACCAGCAGAGCAAACAGAATCGGTTTTATATCATATCAGATATCGGTCTCATATCATATCAGATATGAGAGAGAAAAAGGGCCAGCTATTCTGGAGGAAATAAATAAATAAATTATTCTATTTGGGGATACTTTTATAAACAGGATAAAAACGAAGAAGAAAAAAAGGTAGAGCAGGGTTTTATTTATATCTTTCGGCTCACACAATGCCGGGGCCGGGAGGAGGGAGCGAGCCCGGCGCTCTGCGGCTGCCCCGGCTGTCCCTGCCCGGGGTGCGGGGGTGCCCATGGCCCACCGACACTGCCCCCAGCCCACCCTTCCCGACGAGTTGTGCAGGCAGGAAGGGAAGGGCCGCTCGCTCGCCAGGGAGCAGCCTCGGCCCTGTTGCGATATCCCCGCGGGTTCTGCGGGGCGGCGGGAGCGAGCTCAGAACACGGCGGGGTCCGGATCGCCGGCGCGGGGCCCGGCCGGGGCTCTCTGCCCGCGCACCCTCGGCCCCGTTCCCGTTCCCCGGCGGCCGCTCCGCTCCCCGCAGCCCGGCCCGGCCCTGCCCGCACCCTCCCGTGCGCCCCGGGCTGCCGCCAGCGCTCCGGCGGCCCCGGCCCCTTTTCCAGTTCACCGCAGCACCGACTGAGGCTTTCCAGTTAATTTACTCCTGCACAGAGACCCAGCTGGCCACCAGTTGCAGTTGGCACCGTCAAAGTGGAATCGCGGGGAAAAGAGCCCAGCGCTGTCCGCTTGGTTGGGCTGGTTTTGTCTGGGGCGCTGGAAGAAAGAGCAGGGGATTCACACGAGCTCGCGGCCCCCCTTTTCGGGACATGTTTTGGAAGCCAAAGCCGGCTGGGCTCCTTCTCCTCCAGGAAAGGACTTTTTAGGAAGAGATTCAATAGCTAACCCCTGGATCGCTGCCACGGACAGCACGGTGAACAATTAAAAGACAAATGTCAGCTGGCTTCGCGGGGCGGGAGGTTCCCCCCGTGCCGGGGGCCTGGCCCAGATCCGCCGCACTTTCGGCTCAGTCCTTCGCGCAGGCAGGAATTTGTGACGGAACTGTAAAAACTCCGGGAAAACGACATTTAAAAAGTGCTGCAGAGCCGTGTCCATGGGGAACGGGAGCCTCCCCCCGGCAGCCGCCCCTCGCTCAGGCCCGGGCCGAAAGCCCCGCGGGCAGAGAGCAGCTGCGCACACGCGTGGGGAGTGCCGGCTGCGCGGCCGCGGAGCGGGGCGGGAGGGCCCTGCCCGAGCCGTGAGCGAGCACCGCGGGCCGCTCCCGACAGCTCCCTGCGCACACGGCTTTTGGCTTTCCTTCCCTTCCGTCGCAGAGCCCTCGGTTTTAAACCCCACTCACTTCCGTGCGCGGGACTTCCAGGCTCAGTGGAAATAAAACCACCTGTTTCTGGGATTTCCCGGCTCAGGGGAAATAGAGGCGGCTGGGTTTACCCTGCCTCGGTCCCTGTCATGCGTCTTCTCTGGAGTGCAGAAGATATCGAGGGAGAAGTTCCCGGCCGTGCAATCCCAGAGTGCCCAAAGCATCCTCCCTACTTTTCCAACGCCTGGTCCGTCTCCAGCCCAAGCGAGCGTCACCACGGACAGGGGAAAAAATTTCCTTCCCCGCAGAAGCGCCCCACTCCGCGCCCTGCAATCGCCGTGGGCACTCCGAGACTGCGGGGAAGGAGGGACGGAGGGAGGGAGGCACGGGAAGCAAAGGAGGGACCGGGGCCACCCCACCGCCCGCACCCCATTCCGGGCCGGCAGCTGCTGCCCGCGGGACGCATGCATATGGATGTGGACATATGGACGCGGGCAGGATCCGCACCGCGGTGCCACAGGGGGACACAGGTTCCAAGGGGAAGCCCACGGCCGGAGTGGCCGCTGGCAGGGAGGGGGGAAAGGAAGAGCTCTCCGCTCTCCGCGGGGTAACGAAGGGGTCGCTCTACCCGGGGCGTGTGCGCTGGGGGAAAGCCCAGGACGTAGGCCGCTGTCACCCGCTCCCCGACAAGGCCCTACAGCAGCGCTGTCACAGCCCCGAGGCCCTCGGGCTTTCTCATCCCGACAGCAACTCGCACGCAGAGTCCCCAGCGTAGGCAGCGAGGAGGGTAATGCCTACACCCTGCCAGAGGGATGCCCAAACCGGCAGCCACGCGGGACAGCGCGACCATTTCAGCGAGTGACGGCTTCTCCCGCCCTTTCCCTCGCGTGTGGTCTCCTGTGATGAGCTCCTGAAATCCCGTTATCTCCCATCACCTCTCTGTGCTATTAATTTTTAACGCTTCCCATATAACACGCTCCCTGTCTCCCCTCCGCTCTCCCGCCGTTTGCGGCCGTGATGTTATTTCGTGCAAGACTTTCGTTGTATCCCTGCCAGCCGCCCCGAGGCTTTGCTTTAGGCACTCCTTGCCTCGGGACATGAGTCGTCCCTCAGGCCAGAGAACCCGGGCGCTAAAATGAGGGCGATGGGCTTTCACCCCGGCCAGGACACCCCGAGTCCCTTCCAGCATCGCGGCCGCGGGCAGAGGGACCGCTGGGAGAGGCGCTTGTGCAGGATCCGCCGCTCAGAGCCGGCGTCGCCAGCCGCAAATTAAAAATTGAGATGAACTGCTCCCTCCTAATTGCAGCTCCGCCTTTACCTTCTGCACCGATAGGTATTTCCCAGACACGCGTTTCTGGCGGCGTTTGCCAGCTGTCTCCAACAGCGGTTGTGAGTCTCCGTGAGGGATGCAAACATCTGCCGGGCAGGAGGAGGCGGCGCTGCCGCGGGGAGCAGCGGGCACCCCGCACCGAGCACCCCGCACCGCACCGAGCACCCCAAACAGCACAGAGCACCCCAAACCGCATCGAGCACCCCACACCGCACCGAGCATCCCGCAGGAATCCTGCGTTCCCCAAATCCAGGATTTGGGCAGGGATCCTGTCAGGGGAGAGAGTCCTGCGAGAGAGAGTGGCGCTAGGAGTAGTATTGCGTTCAGGGACGGAATTTTGGTCCATGCAGGAATTAGGGTAGATTGCTTTAGGACTTTGATTTAGGGCGACGAAAACGGTTGCAGTTATTACAGCGTATAGGCAGAAGTTGAGGAGGGTGAGTTTAGGGTTGTAGATGATAATGATTGCTATTCAGCCTAGGACGGAGATGGATGGCACCCGCACCGAGCACCCCGCACCGCACCGAGCCTGCACCGCACCCGCGAGCGCGGTTGATAAGAACAAAGTTATCGATACAAGGGCCGAGCAGGCAGCACCGCGCCTCCCCGCGTCCCCCGGGGGTTCAGGCCTTGCCCGGAGGCCCGGGGCTGGCGGGAGGCGCTCGGCAGGGCCGCTCGGTGCCCATCGCTGCCCTCCGGGGCCGCGGGGCTGCGGGGAGCGCCTGGCACCGGCCCCGCGGCAATAACCCGCTTCCGCACACGCAAGTGTATCCCTGTAATAACGTCCTCGATCATTTATTAAAAGTCGTGTCAAGCGAGCCCATATAATTCATCTTTATGCAAATACATCAATGTCAAGCCATTAGTGTATTGCTCGGGTTTTTTATTAAAGTGCATTCTTTTTAATTCAGCTCAGTAAAATATGAGCCCTATTGCTCAAGAATTATAGCAACTATTAGAGTAACATACGGGCAACATGCACTCAGAAAATAAAAATCAACAGATAAAGTGGCGGGGTCACAA